TGAGCTGCAGTGTAGAACCCTGTATTCCAGAGTAACGCCCTGAGCCCCAGTGAGATGCTCTGTACCCCAGAGTGGTGCCCTGAAGCCCACTATGATGCGCTTTACACCAGAGTGGGACCCTGTACTCCAGAGTAATGCCCTGAGCCCCAGTGTAGGACCCTGTACCCCAAAGTAGTGCCCTGAACCCCACTGTGATGCTCTGTACACCAGGGTGGCACCCTGTACTCCACAGAGTGGTGCCCTGAGCCCCAGTGTGATGCTCTGTACCCCAAAGTAGTGCCCTGAACCCCTCTGTGATGCTCTGTACCCCAGAGTGGGACCCTGTATCCCACAGTGCCCCACTGTGATGCTCTTTACCCTAGAGTGGGACTCTGTACTCCACAGTAGTGCCCTGAGCCCCAGTGTAGGACCCTGTACCCCACAGTACCCCCGTGTGATGCTCTGTACCCCAGAGTGGGACCCTGTATCCGAGTGGCTGCAATTCAGACCTCTGGGTTGTGGCTTCTCTCCCACCCCGCTGGTTTTGCAAAGGAGCAGCCGGCAGTCCATGGCTTTGGTGCTCCTCCCTGCTGCCTTTTGTGGCCCCACAGCAGCAAGGCTCTCAGAGGGAGCTGCTGTGTTGGACCTGCTGCTGGAGGCTTTGCTGCTGCTGCTCCCTGCCTGTGGGACACCTGCCCACACCACATCAGTGTTAATGAGTTTCAACCATTCCTTCTCTACAGCCATGTTTACAAGTGCTCTTCAAGCATCTTCCCACTTGTGCCTTCTTTGCTCACAGTGTTTCAGCTGCTATTATTTCCATGCAAAGGGCAGGGACTGTGCCTTACTATACTGCTTCTCCCTCCTTTACACCTACAGGAAGCCAGATCACTAAGCAGAACTAAATTTAATAGGAGTTAAAGAAAGATCCTTTAATGTAGTTACCACAAAGAAGATTGCTTAAAATACCCTGCATGTTCTCACTAAGATTCCCCGCTGCCTTCTCTCCCACAGGGAGTTGCACTTGCTAATTTTCTGTCTGGTCCTACCATAAGCAGCAGCACTGCAATCTCACTCTTGATCCTTCTCAAAGCTGTCACTGCTATTTGTATGTCTCAGTGAGTAAACAGATGAAATGATTACCAGAAATTATCAACTCCACCCTCATTGTTTCAAGAAGGAGCAAAGGAAACCATGTTCTCAGCACACATGGCTGTGACCTAGATTCTCATCACTTGTGTCACCAAAATGTGTCTCCTAATATTGGTCTGCACTTACTGGTACAGATAATTCAGTCAGGGGTATGATTTAACAACACAGGTGTATTCAAACTATTTTTACTAACTGTAAAGCAAGGGAAAAAGTTTTAACTAATTGATCTCACTGATTGCCCTTTGGAGGGGTGACACAGGCACATCAAAGTACAGAGTCAATAATTACCTTTTAAATGGAGGTGACTGAAGTGTCTCTCTGAGGACACGTTTAGAGTGAGCACTGTGCATCTCAGCATCAGGGATGTGGCTCCTGGGGGACTTTTGGGAAAGTTTCATAACTTCCAGCATTCCCCAACCTTGTAATCTTGGATAGCAGCACACTGGGAGGTAAAGAGAGGATTTAAAAAAACATCTTGTGGTTTAATAGTCATATGCTGAACTCCTTTTCCCCATTTTTGTTAGGGGCAACTTCTGTAGTGGGTTACAAACAGAGTCACTTCTCAGCAAGTGGCTGCTCTTAGGAAGAAGGTAGATTTAATTAAAAGCTATTTTTAAATGATTTCTGGGAGAAAACAGAAACACACAGTCTGCTGCTCTAACCAGAGTGCATGCTGCTGTATTTATAAGGCATTTTACCTTGCTTAGGAAATGTGGCAGCACATTGGTCATCCCAATAATAGCAACAGTAAAAAGTGAATTCCACACAACAGCTTTTTACCTGTGCCTCTGGGAGCCTATAGGCTTGTTTTATTGTCCCCAGCTTCAGCTGAGAAGTGGATGAAATAGTGCCTGTGGATGCAATGGACCTATAAAAACAGGTGAAAAGGAGAAGACATGAAACATTTTCTGGTACACAGAAAATGTGTTCCTGACTTCTTTCATGTTACACATTGCCAAGAGCTACCAGCATAATCATTTAATACCTTAACAGCAGAAAGAAATGCCAGTTAAACAAATGAAATTAAATCATTGTGGGGAAAATCTGGTGACAAATACAGTCCCTCATGCAGGGAAAGGGACCACTGGCAATGGATACAGAAGAGAAAAGATTTTCTAGTCAGTTCATCCACACTTCACTAATTCAGAAATGAAATTCAGCAGCCCCTTTTTTGCCCCGTAACTCAAAGAACATGTTCACAAAATCAATCTGATACTGTCAGGCTCACACAATATTGCTGAAGTTCAGCAGAAGCTGCTGCTGCTATTTCAGCAACCACTTCTGCAACAAAGGCTTGGGCAGAGACATTGCTTCACTACTTGGGCAGTTCCAAACGTGGTTTCTTTGTGGAGAACCAAGATGTGGAATTGCAAAGAATGTTTAGAAGTGCAGATCGTTTTCCCTGAGGTTTCGGGAGCTCACCTGCTGAGTGTCAAGTCAGGATTTAGACAGGTCAGCTCCTGCTCTTCCCCCTGTGTTGCAATAGCACCTCAGTGTTCCATGGGCATGGCATGAGCTGGCCACTGGATGAGGCACAGGGCACCTGCAGGCAGGCTGCCCCGGCACCTCATGGGCAGGGAGAAGGGTGCTGGTGTGCCCAAAGCCAACCTGGATGTGCCAGAGAGCCAGGGTGGATGTGCTCAATTCCAAGAGCAGGCACAGAAGGCAGTTTTACAAGCTCGGCCCCAAAATGGTGAAGTTCGTCAGTTGCAGAGAGATTAATTGCAGTGAGATTAGTTGCACAGAACATAAATGGTAGAGAGAGCATCGTTCTTTTTTGTTTTTGAACTGCAGCTGTGTGCAGAATGTTTCACTCCTGCTGGTTTCACCAGTGCTGGCAGCTTTACACTGGACAGAGGTTTATAGCCCTTTTAGTCACTAAAATCCCAAGTCTTCCAGCCATGGCTGCAGACCTGCTGCAGACTTGATGCTGCTTCAGTGAGTAACTGGCATTCCTGGCAACACCAGCAGTACTGATTTCCACTGGGAATCAAGGAAAAGAAACAAGGGGAGGGACAGGCTGGGAAGGGGAGACTGTACCTGGTGTGCATCGCCAGCATTACACGCTCATACTCACTGCACCCTGATGTCAGCCTGCTGCAAAGCCAAAGGACAAACTGCAGGTGTCCACCAAATCCTGGATTTTTGCTCTGCTTGCCTCCAGCAAGTTTGAGTTCAGGCGTTGTCCTGAAGCGAAGTTGGTGTCTGTCACGGATATATTTTCTGAAAAATACTTTTGCTAGGATTTTTCCTGCTGAGAAGCCTCAGAGGAAAAGAAAAGCAATAATTATCTGCTGCTGTGGAATGCAACAGGTGCATCTTTGACTGGTCCATGTGAGTTGTTTCTATTTGATGACAAATTGCAGGTCCACCATTCTTTTCCTTGTTAGCCTTCGGATGAAATCATTTCTTCTATTATTTTAGTAGAGTTTTAATAATTTTCTTTTAATATATATATTGATATATATTAATAGATATTAAAATATATAAAATCATATTATTATATATTATATTATATTATATTATTATATTTTATATTAACATTATATTATATATAAAATTATTATAAAATTCTAATACATAATATTAGAATTAAATATATTCTATGTATTTTATATTATATATTATATATAATAAATATAATATAATTAAAATTATATTACATATAATATTACAGATAAGAATTATTATATTATATATTGCTTTATTATTAATTATATTAATATACATAAAGATATAACATATGTATTAAAATATATATTAAAATGTATAAAATACATATTTTAATATAGATTAATATAATTTTCTTTTAATATATCATAAAATAGATCATTTTCTTTTTACTATATCATAAAATAATAAATCAGCCTTCTGAAATATGGAGTCAAAATTCTCATCTCTTCCCTCATCCTGTGACCCCTGGCAGCACCACCACAGGTGTCTCCTGCTCTGAGCCAGCACAGCCACTCCCTGTAGGCAGTGAAGAACAGATGCCCCTAAGACAGGAGGCACAAGCTAAGAAAAACAAAGCCAGGTATTCTCTGCTCACTAATTTTAGTTGTGCAAGTTTCCTTTGAGTTATTCATAGCAATGCTGAATAACAAACAGAGACACATTCCTTTATATGATGTGTAAAATGCAGGAAAACCTTAACCAGTAGGACAGCTTTAGGAGTTTGGGGCACTCTGTTTTTGTGGCAAATCAGGGCCAGATAAAGATCACTAAAATTGGCCTGACATGCAATAGGGTTTTAATGATGCTGATCTCTTTTTACAGCAAGATTGTGGACAGAATAGATGATGACAAAGATGGCTTTATCACAACAGAGGAGTTAAAAACCTGGATTAAACGAGTGCAGAAACGCTACATCTATGAAAATGTGGCCAAAGTTTGGAAAGATTATGATCTAAACAAGGATGATAAAATTGCCTGGGAAGAATACAAGCAAGCCACATATGGTTATTATCTAGGTAAGAGAACAGATTGTATGATCAAGGATTTTTAAGATTATAAAATATGATTTCTTGCCTTGCAGACAACTGGAGGTTGTTGTCACATTTAGGACTCTTGAAGCTCACATTAACTTTTATGGATGCTCAGAGGTCAAAAGCACTTTTTAGTTATTTATTGCAGCCCTTTGCACATGGGTCACCAGCACACAGAAGGTTTTGTAGAGGTATCATTAAATATACTGACACAGCTGAATTAAAGTCTCCTCCAGTTAGAAATATATTATTTTTTAGCATTGAAAAGGGTACTTTAATTAAAAAATAATATATTGTCTAATTAACTGTATTTGTGAATTTAGTCTCTAAAATCCCAAGTCTAGATGTTAAAAATGTAGCCTGTGTCTAAGCTACAGCAAAGTTATTGATTAAAGTCATTCTTGCAGAATAACATGCTTCAGACTGTGATCAACAGCAAATGAAAATCCTTAACAAATCAGGCAAAATAAACATTTTTTAAAAAATATACCTGAATTCCCCCCACCCCCTCCACGTTCCCTTTGCTTTTATAAGTTAATGAAGGAAGAGGAGGAGAAGAGATCACTTAAGCTAAAGGGCAATACTGACAGAGCAACAAATCAGTATTAATTGACCATTTATACTTACTGGAAATGAGAAAACAATATTTACCTACCACAGAGGCAGTTTCTAGAGCAAGCTTCCTGTAGCAGTAATAATTCCATAGTCTACCTTAGATTTAAATGGAGTTTGTTACATTTGTGAAAGGAAATATTTAACACACAGTCCCTGCAGAATTATCCCTGGAACCCTTCTCAGCCCTTTGTCTTTGCTACCTCTAAGCCCCAAGATTTGGAGAGCAGCATTGTGTGCTTGTGTTAATGAATACTTAAAATTCCCATCTGTAATTCCTGACCCAGTCTTTTTCACATGTGTTTGTCTCCCAACATGTGAATTGTGAAATTGTTATGAGTATTTTTCATTTTTAAACTCAGTTTACTGATCCTATTTTAAAAATTATATCAAATACCAATCCTTTTATGCCACTGAACACTCTGAAAAAATTCCATTGTTTTAAACTGAAAAGAATTGTTAGGTTCCCTGTAGCAGAGGTCTAGCACTGAGATAATTTCAGTCAGTCTGCCACCTTCTGAACCACATTTCCTTGGTTTACTCTTCTTGAAACTGAAAAGTTGTGTGGATCATACTGATTCCTAAAGATGAAGAAAACTACTGTGAATGAAGTCTACCCCAAATATTGCCTCACTGGTGCTTGTAAAGGCAGATTAAAAAAATCTGTGAGGGAATACTGCAAAATCCATTATTCTGGATTGTAACAGAAGGCTTGCTCAGAAATTTACCTCCTACTACTGTCACCTTTAAAAATAAAACCAAGTATTTGACCCCTGAGTAAACTTCATGGGGAAGAGAATTTCCATTTAGAACAACAGCTATTCTGTCAATAAACCTTTTTATTTCTAAACTCAAACAGCTTTGTTTTGCTAGTATGTTTTAAAGGAGAACACCTCTGAGATCATCTTGATTTGTCTGCAGAAAATCCAGAAGAATTCCAAGATGCCACTGATCAGCACAGCTTTAAGAAAATGCTGCCCAGAGATGAAAGGCGATTCAAAGCTGCAGATCTGGATGGAGACTTGGCTGCCACTCGTGAGGAGTTCACTGCTTTCCTGCACCCAGAGGAGTTTGAGCACATGAAAAACATTGTTGTCTTAGTAAGCAAAGCAAAATCAATGCCATTGTTTCTGCTTTTATGGGTGAATTTGAAGGCTTCTCTCACCTTTCCAGGCAGGGTTTAGAAAGAGACACACACATAAAAGCTAAGTGGGGAACAGAAAGGGGTGCCTTTCATGATACTCACTTGGTTTAGAAGTCTCAACATAGGAAAGACTTTTTAAGTGCACTTAGACAGCTCCTAAATTGAATCAAGAAACAATCTTGGGGCACTGACTTAAACCAAAATATAAGGAGGGTGTGCTGACATACAGCAGCTGAGTGTTTCATGCAGGCTGGTATCTGCCCCTATCATAAGCAGTTCATTCATACAGGGAATTTTTTCAACATGAAAGGATATTTTTATATTCATTGTGTAAACAACAGTCCCACTGGGTTTAGTGAGACTACATTCACTTGTGTACAGGGCCAGGTCAAGGCCTCAGAACATTAAATTATCAAAGGCAAGTAATCAAAGCTGAGTTTTCTCTTGCTGACTTTCAGGCAAAATTGTTTTCCAGGAAACCTTAGAAGACATAGACAAAAACGAGGATGGTTTTGTGGATCAAGATGAATACATTGGTAAGTGTTGTCACTTGTTTTTTATATAATTTCCAGTCCATTTTTCCATCTTCTCTCAAACTGGCAGCAGCATTAACAACCCAGAGTGAACAGTTCAACTGTTTTATACCAACCATCCAACCCAGAAAGTTTAATTTCATTTTAGGTAGATAGCAACATGACCAGGAAGAATTCCTCATGCTTCACAGCACAAAATTCTCCTCTTGTTCTTATTTAACTCAGCTAAGAGTTATATGAGAATAAAAGAAGAGAATCTGGAATAATATTTTTCATGGCATGGATATTCTTTGTATATTGCACCATGCTAACTGCTGTTTGAAGGCACTGTTTAGAAATGCAGGAGGATCAGAAAATGAATTAGTCTTTTCCCAAATAAATGGTTTTGGATGGTGCTCAAAGATCCAAAACACCTGGGAATCAACCATTGCAAAAAGAGAAAGTTCACCTTGTTCCTGCTAGATTTTTTTTTCCTAGTTTAATTAGTAAGTAAAGCCCATACTTCTGTACTGATGATACCATTCTATTTTGATGAGTTTTAAATCCAGAAAGTAGCACTAAGAAGGCATTAGTGCAAAGTTGGATGAAGCTTTCTGTTTCTAGTGGTGCTATAAAGATCACTTCACATAGAATCAGGAACAATATACACTAATATACACTAATTAATGGCAGGGGGTTCTGTTCCTTGTAAATTATATTTAGCCCAGAAAGTGAATGCTATTCATCTATGACTGAAATAACAGAGCAGCATAATTTCCACAGTAATTTCAGTTCATTCAGTGACATTACCTACATATAATTATAAGGTAATTGTCAACATTTGTTACCATGTGAATGCTGGTTTTTCTTGTCTTCTATAGATAGGAACATAGAATGTTCTAGTCACGATCACCCCACATTGGCAAGGATGATAAAAATCAAATTGACAGGACATTTCAGTTGCTTCAAATAAACAATATAATTTGCACTTTAAAAATAAAAAAAAGAAAGTGAATGTGTTGTCTGAAGTTTTCTTCCTGAGTTGAGAAAACTATGCTTAAAATATTCCTGCTTTCCTTTTTCAGATGTAATTTTTTTTAAATTTTGATGAAGTTGGGATTAAGAAACCAACAGAAAACTAAATTCCTTCTTTGGTAGTTATTAAGGAGCAACAAAAAGAAGTCCAAAAATTTCAATCTCTAGATGGAGTATTTGTTGGGGGGATCTGTTGAAGCTTATAGAATGATCCCACCCTCCATTCCCTTCTTTGCTCCCATTTTGTCTTTTGCAAAATTTGGTTTAGATTTACACAAGCAGCGGAGCAAAATGCCTATAAAAGTGTTGAGCAGAGAGAACTAAATTCTCCCTGTGCATGGGCAGGTAACAGAGTATTTCAGGGACACTGGGGACAGTGACAATGTAGAGCCTCAGCCCAGTGTCAGGGGTATTTACTCCTGCCTTGGAATTCAGCATTTGTGTTTCCCACAGGTACCAGCCAGCCTCTGACCCTCACACCATCCATGAGGGTCCTTGAAAACCAAATCCAGAAGACACTGGAGAGGAGTAGTATCACAAAGCAGGTTTAATTCTAAATAGAGAAGTGGAAGGCTAGAGGATGAGTAGGAAAGGATTGGCCACAGTGACCAGAAGGATGACAGAGACACCAGTCATGATTTGGAAAGCCCTGTGATGTAAAGAACATTGGTTTGAATAATCACTGCTGCAGCTGCTTTCTGTTTATGCAGAAAGCAGCTGGCACTGTGGCTCCCAAAATGCAGCCCAGGAGTGATGTGCAGAGCAGCTGGGGTGTGTGACTTCTGCATCCTGGCACACACACTGCTCCCTCCCCAGCTCCCAGGCTGTGACCAGTGCTCTGTGCCTGTGCCTCCTCACACAGTGCACCATGGCTCCTGACTTCTCCAGCTCTTTCCTGCAAGAGTGTCTTCTGCTGGAATGTGCTGCAGCACTGCGTAGTTAAAAGAGAGCTGATCTCCTAAGCTGAAGGTCTCTCACACAAGACTTCTCTTAAATGCATGCAGGTTCCATTTAGCAATTTTTGTTTGCCTAAATTCCTCCTGTGCCTTTTTTCCCCCTGTAATCACTCTGCTGGCTGGAATCTGATCTTATCCACAAAGACATTTGCTGGCAGGGACAAGATAAAATGGCTGAGTTTCTTTCTCCCCATGTGACCAAGCCTAGCACTAAAGCTTAAGACTGCTGTTCAGCCAAAGATCCTTAGAGGATTTTGTTCCTTCTGAAATTCAGATGATGGCCTTTGAACATGTTAACTCTCCTGTTAGCCCCACCAGAAGTGCACAGGTGTGATACAGGGTGCTGTGAGAGTGGGCAGAATCACCAGCAGTGAAGAAATAAGCCTGAGAGAAGATACAGCTACTCCATCTACACCCCACATTTCTCTTTCTGTGTAGAGACACAGAATGAAAAGTTCTGTCCTCTCTGTTCAGTGCAAAGAATGAAAAGTTCAGTCCCCTCTGAGGGACACTGTGAGAAATCTTTATTTTGTGCTTAATTTGCAAAGTAAATAGGACTCAAGTAAGACCCTTATTTCCTCTCCAGCTGATATGTTTGCAAATGAAGAGGGTGGACCAGAGCCCGACTGGGTGATTACAGAGCGTGAGCAGTTCGCAGATTTCCGTGATCTCAACAAGGATGGAAAGATGGACAAAGATGAGATCCAGCACTGGATCCTCCCCCAGGACTATGACCATGCACTAGCTGAAGCCAGGCACTTAGTCTATGAATCTGATGTAGACAAGGTATGCGGTGCTCCAGTGTTGTCTTTAAAGAAGTTATACAGGGTCTTGTGGGTTTTTTAAAACACCAGCTTGCAAGAATTTATTCCTAATACCTTTCTTTAGAGGCTAGACTTGCTGGTGGATTAATGTTTCCATGCCAATCTCAGTTGGTAGTGTTAGAATTACAAAGTGTTACAATACAGTTTATCAGCTCTAGAAGGTCCCTTGGTTTTCATTAGGTGAGATGAGAAACTGTCACTATTTTAACACAGCAAAAAATACTGTTTTTCCTTTAAGAGTGGTCATTACTTTTGTATGTTAATATAGACTAAAAGAGGAAAATAAAGTTACATTTAGTTACCCCTTGCACTCAAATACAGGGGTAGCAAACCCACTCTCAGTTCTATACTCAGGCACGTACCTTTCATTTAAACACTGGCTCTGATCAGGGACAGCATATGAGGAACCTGAAAGCCAAAATGCTCTGAACACAGAAACTGCTAACATAAGCAACCACCTTCCACAAAGTGCACCAGAGGATTTTTGTTTTTACAGTCAGGAAGATGAACCAAACCACAGAACTGTGCACTAGGTAATCCACTGTTAACCTACTGTTCCTACTGCTTGGCATTACAAAGAGCTTTCAGTTAGCAGTTTGACCTACCTGAAGCTTGTGGGGCTTCTGTCTTCCACTGAGGCCCAAATTTCCCTCACTGTGACACCTACAAATGATTGCTGAACCTGCAGTGTGCTGCTGTGAAGAACTGTATGTTTCACAGGGCTCTTGCAAGTCTGTGCTGGTGTGGCTTTGTGTCTTAGACTTAGTTCTGAAAATATTCTTACAGAGTTGTTGGTTTGGTTTTTTTTTCCTTTTTCTTCTACCAGGATCAAAAACTAACAAAAGAGGAAATTCTAGACAACTGGAACATGTTTGTTGGAAGTCAAGCTACCAATTACGGGGAGGACCTCACAAGAAACCATGATGAGCTATGATCCAGTGTGCCAGCCAGTGTGCCACACATCTTTTCTCCACCTTACTGAATTCACTGTGTCCATCCCCTCCAGGAGGGAAGATGGCCAAGGGACACTCACAACTGAATAACTTGCATTAATATTATTTTTAACATGCCAGTTTATTACCTCAGAAACCACATAGAAATAGCTTTTTTACTCCTTTCACATGGTTAAACACAATCTTTAGTTACTAGAGTTTTATTTTTGAAAAAATTAAGAGGGTAACTTTTCTGAATAGGTTAGAGCCTGGCATGGAAAAGGGACTTCTAAAAACATTGCAAAGATCTTTAATAGCCAAGTCTTTTCTTCAAATACCCACTTTTACCATAGTGAAATGCACCTAGGATTAGAACCCTAATGTTTAATCAGACTTAAGTTATTTAGTTGTCTTTTCTAATAGTTTAGAGGTGACCCTTTGAGCCTCCTGCCCAGAGAAGAGTTTGATACCAGCTTTGTCTCCACAGAATTGCTGTGTTGGGTGAGTGCTGCTGCAGCCCCCTGGCTCCTGCTCCAATGTGCAAATGCACAGGTCCCTTGTCCCTGACCCTGCGTTCCCAGGCAGGGATGCAGAGTCCAGCCTGGCAGCTGCTCCTTCCACAGCAGGGTAAAGTACAGCTGTTTGTGGGCCCTTGGCCTGGCTGCTTCCTGGGAGGAGTTGTGCCACATGGAGCATAATTTATCTCCTGCTTTTCACACTTCACCCCAGCCCTGCTCCTGTTCACACAGTGTGAATGGCAGCAGCTCTGTGATGGAGAAGGAATGAGACATGTCATCCCTCTGGGCCTTGTGTCTCCTCTGCCACTAAGAGGACAGATTCTTGTGGCTGAACTTCTGGGTTTGTGTGTTTATACCTGTAACTCTAGAGACATCTCTCCTTCCAAAAAAGGGGGAAGTTTTAGGTGCTTTATTTTTTACTGTATAATGTGAGTTGTTACATGTATATTTTTATATAACCAACTTCTCCAAGTTTGGTTGTTTTTATCTGTACTGGTTTGAAAAGAAGCACAATAAAACCAATACTACTTCTTGGTACTGTGAAGGTGCAGTAACACTAACACAGATTAGCAGAGAGATGATGTGAAAACACAAACCAAGCCTCTAAAGCCAGCAGTTCCCAAAGCACTGGGATGGTCATTTCCAAAAGCATCTGCACATACATCCCCAACTGTTCTTTGTCACCTCATTAAATTAAAAAAAGCCAAAAAGAAGTGCATTATACATAGCAGCTGTAACTAGAATTTGTTCTGGACACCAGTACTGGGGATCAGGACTCCCCAGCAGCATTCTCTGGTTCCTGGAAGGTTTTGTGTAAAACATCACACCCTGAACAATCCAGAGGGGAGCTCTGAGACTCCAGGCTGTGAGACACTTCAGCAGTTCAACACATTTGTAAAAATCATCAGGAGGCAGTGCAGAGCTGTGACCTCTGTGAACAGTGCCATTTTTATAAGGTCATGGAAGAACCCTGGTGCAATATTTTACATCTTGCAGTTGAAGATAATTAAATGTAGATTGCTGAGTCTGACAGAAATCACATGTGCTTGCTGGCAGCACCACTAAGCTTTTGGGGTGCACATCTTGTGACATTGCCAGCAATGTCTCTGAAAAATCCCCACCTCTCCCACTAACATAGAGCAGGGCAAATGTCATAAAGGGGAACTGGTTTTGTTTTTACAGTACCCTCAAGTTAAATAAAAGCCTAAATGCAGTGCTATCTGGGAAGCAATAAAATTGTATCTTGGCACGTGAAAATGATTATATATTTTCTTTATGGTTTGGATTTGGAAAGGTTTATTGTACTCAATAATCCTGACAATCTTTATCAAACTAACATATTTTGCTAACAGATTTTCAGTACTCTCTGCGTGCTCAGATTATCTTCTGCTGTTTCAGGAAACAATACCTTAAAAGACCTCAAAAAAACGCTTGTTTCCTGCAAGTGAAACTGCAGCTCAGGCTGGATACTAAGCCAAGGATTTTCACTGGAGCCCAGGGGAAGGTTGTTTGCTCACTCTTGTTGAAATTCAGTGGGAGTTGGGTGCTGAGACACTAAGCATTGTTGCCCACAGCTAAACATGACACTTCTGAATGCTCTGTGCACCGTCCCAACAAAAAAAAACACATCTGTGCTTTGACAAGCAATCACATTTTCTTCCACATTACTAAATGAATTTGGAACAGAATTAGCAGCACACAAGAGAAAAATCCTGTTCTCATATTTGTTCTTGATTCCTGTTACTGCTTGGAACACATTGGTATTTTCCAGGGTAAAACTGTACTTACGTGAGTAAGAATGCTGAAATCAGAGGAGCTCTCCACACAAACAGAGACTGAAAATTCAGATCCAGAAAAAGGTTTTCTTTTTTCCTCAAAAGAATGGTACTCAGGTAGCATATATCCAGCTAGGAAAAAGGCAAACATGCCAATTAAAATGTTTAAAATAATCAAATTATTTATCAGTAGTGGGTTATGGGGTCATAGTAAGATTAGGAGCTTTTTTAATAAAGCAGTTTTAGAGAACATAAGTGTCCCTGATGTGATTTCATTTTAAAGGCTCCCCTGTTTCTGCAGTTCTCCATGGTGTTTCTCTTACCAGCATTCAGTAATGGCAAAGTACATTCCATGCTCTAAATTTCCCTTTCAAGCTCAATGCACTATGGAAGAGTAACTCCAAAAGAGACTAGAGCTTCTGGGTTTAAATTTAACACTATTTAAGGAAAGCAAACCTTTGCTAGGGGATATAACTGTTAACATTGTGATTTTTCAAGCCTAAGGTTTCTAATGGGGTTTGACTGTTCCAGAGATAACATTTTTTTTCCTAGGTAACATATTTCAACTCATATTATGAGCAAATGTTACAAAATTTTAGTGTAATGTGAAATACTGAAATGTCAGATAGCATTATTTATCTTCTTAATATGACTAAAACCATTAATTGCTGGGAGCCATACTTCATCCCAGCAACATGAAAATCCATTTTGTGCCTATCTTGTCAGTTATTGCCGATTTTCTTAATCAATTGTGACACAGTGAAATTCTGTTGGGAAGCATGTTTATATATTTGCAGCTGCAGGATCTGTATGGTAACTTATTACACAGATCCTCCATTAACTCAGTGGTTTTGCCATGACTATGCCACAATACATCAAAGGTGCATTTTTCTTACTTAGATATCTGGAATAGCCCATTATTATTGCCCATGCAGTTTTAATTATTGGGATTTATGAAATGAGCTAAGTGGCTAATGTTCATTGTCTTATAATTCCATTTAATGATTCAGTCAGGTTGAATGTGTCTCCTGTTCCAATGAAAGGGGCTGTACAGAACTCCCTAGAGAGAGATCACAGCCCATCCTGCTCCTGTTACAAGGGTACCTTACAAGAGTTGCAGAATGTTTAATTATTTGCTGTGCAGAAGCTGATCTTGATCCCAGTGAAGTTATCATGAACTCCTAGTTCTAAGGAATATAAGAATTACTTTAAGGCCTTGGCCACACAAAGGCAAGCAGAACGATGGGGTGGTGGGACTGGAGGTCAGAAATTACCTTACAACCAGCAGATCCTGATCTCCTTACTGCCACTGACCACTAACACTTGGGAATTAGACAGTTCATACTCCTGTGAGATAGGCTGTAAGTAGTTCATGGAAGGCAGTGTGTAAAGTCTTTGTGGCCTGCTCAGGGAGCCTGAAGCGTTTTATTGAGTCATGGTAGCATCACCCTTAGCAAATGAAGTGAGTTTTACAGAGTGACAGAAGCATCTACAAAAAAAAATAAAAAATTCCATAGCTAAAAATTTTGCACAGCCTGACTTGGCCTATAGCCAAGCACTTGGAAGCATCCAGCATTTCTCTTTTCATGGCTGCAGTTTAGTTGTGCTGTGTTCCATTCAGAGTATCCAGCACATTAACCATTCCCACTACTCTCAAAGGGAGAATTGAGGATTATTTCCCACTCAAGTTTCAGGCACCAGGAAGGCTGAATGTCCCTGAGACTCAAGTGCTGTATAGATTATCCCAGGCATGGTGAATTCAAAGCAACCTGAGAAGAAGTTACCAGCTTTCCCCTAGTGTGAAACAGTGAACAAAGGGCACACACGTGCATATGACACAACAGCCCATTTCACACCTGCAGGCTGCCTCTCCACAGGATAAAGGTAAAAAAGCAAATAATTAAACATTCTGCAACTATTGTAAGGTACCCTTGCAACAGGAGCAGGATGGGCTGTGATCTCCTTTCTCCAGGGAGTTCTGTACAGTCCCTTTCATTGGAACAGGAGACACATTCAACCTGACTGAATCATTTCCTCACTCTGGCAGTGACAAGGATACAATGATCCTTTGTATCCTATTGATAATTACTATTCCTACTGATAATTAAGGGATGGCCATCCTCAGCACAAGTATTGGCTCAGGGCAGCAGAGCTCAATTTCATATACTGCACATTAGCTGTTTTCCCTGTGGAAGAATTTGTTTCATAAGGGTCCAGATATGATCTGGCTGGCTAACTTCTGAAGTTTTAGTGTTTTTAAATGTTTCTTAGTTGGCCTCATTTGTAATGTTGGCCACATTTGTGGTCTGAAGCTAGCACATACCTGAAATTCCAGAACAGCTGAATAGAACAATTCATGGCAGGATCCTGAATCTGAGTGCTAATTAGAATGAGTACTATTAGAATCTGAGTGCTAATTAAGGGGGACACATACATTAGAAATGCTCCATCTTATCAACAAGAATTTAGACATGCATTGAGATGTGTAGAAAATATTTTCTTTATATGGGAAGAGCCTGACAGCTTTTAAAAAGGACCAATGGGAGCACTGAAGATGAAACATTAGTATAGCTTTTAAAAATGTACCTTGAAGGAATTACTGAGCTCCCAGGAGCCTGATGTTCTCAGGGCTTCTCAGGACATACCTCCTGTTTGGATAAAAGCCAGAGAATTTAATGTTTCAGGAAGAAATAAAAGTGGGGATGAGCTTTGATCATTAGATCAACTGTAAGATAACAGAGAAAAACAGAACACAGCATTGATGAGATGGACAGGTCAGAGAAATTCCCCCAAAATCACTCCTAATGCCCCCTCCATCTTTAAACTTAAATATGGCTTTCACTGCTTCACAGAGGTTGCTGGGACACAAGAGGAAGGAATGCCACTTGAGAACCCATCAAATGACAAGTGGAACAGATTTTAGATCACTAAAATTTCCTGAAATCTTTACAGGGTAACACGTAGGTGAGACATTTTAAACTCATAGGGAGCATCTTTTTTAAAGAGTGAATTCACAAGGAAATTCCAGTGGGAATGAATTAAAAATTGCTGGAGAGGTATCCGTCTCTTCATTCCTGTTCTTAGTTTAACAGATTTTGCATCAATTTTATGCCTTTTATCTTTGTCCTTAGATTTTGAATTCAGTTAATAGTACAGGTGTAACATTTCAGGAACCCCCAGACCTCCCCAAGTTACTGATAACTGATAACTTTTAATTGTTTTCTGCCAAAGAAATGAAGTTTTCCCAGCTATTACATCTGTTCCAAACTAGATACAGCAAACTATAATTAAACCATCAATTAAAAAAACTCCAAAAATGCAAGGGACTAAAAAAGTATGATTCCACAATTCCCATATATACTTAAAAACATTAATATATCTAACCTGAAACAGATTTACTTAGGGTTATACTGAGTTGGAATATTTAGTTTACTACAAGATATTTTAAAATTTAGCTCTGTACCAGAAAAGTATTTGTATACTTGCAGGCTAGAGAGTTTGCATTGAGACATTAAATGCAATAATTTACACTTCAGTCAAACTGCCAAATGTTTCCTGCATGGGTCTTTCTATAGGGTGAGCTGCATGACCTATTCTGGAGCTAACATTCAAACCCCATGGCTCTGTGCTAAGGCTGCCAGCTCAGCTTCTTAATAAAAATGTCTGGTTTAGATCAGCTCTACACGTGCTGCATCTTCTGAGCATGGAGTTTGGAAATTTCCAATCATCACAAACCTGTTGTGAAATTATTTCAGTGTGAAA